CGAAAGCGGCGAAGGATGGACCGAGGAGGCGAGGATGCAAGGGTGCCCTTGGGAAGGTTGCCCATCCTTGCTATGCGGGTTGACTGTAGGTCGGGCATGCCCCCGTACAGGCGGGTGTCGGACGAAGAGTAGAAAATAGCCAAGGCATGCCCCAAAATGATCAAAGGTAGTCGAAGACTCGTCCCCAGACCATTTTTTGACAATTCTTGGATATCTTGTCGAGGGACATGCCAACCTTAATGGTAATGGGGGGTGGCCTAAATGGGGGGTGAAGAACAGAGCCCTAAAGGGGGTCTTTAGGGCCCCTTTTCTTCACTCAATGTGGGTCGACGCCCATTGCAACCCGCCTGACGTGAGCTGGGGGGGGGGCAGCCCAACCCTGAATCTGCTGCATGTCGAGGCGGTCGTACAACGCTAGGCATCCGACAATATGATGTCTTCAATCCGCGGTGGGGCTAAGCTTTCGCCCTGGATCCATTTGTGATGGCCCCGGGGCCCGACAACGGGTACTGGAGGCGAGAACCGAAGAGAAACGCCAAGCTCCCTATGGGCCACTAGACGTGTAAGGGGTGCGCCGACATGATCGCAGCCACTGGGGCCACGGGGGCTACGAAACGTGTGAGAGGTTCACCCAAATGGGGTGGGGCAGGTATGCGAACGCAGCCACTGGAGCCTTCGGTGGAGCTCCCCATGGGGCCGCGACACGTGCAAGGGGTGCATCAGCATGGTGTGCGAATGGAAAAAAACACATCGTAGGAGATCTGGGGACTCGATCGTGCCAAGACGAAGCCAGGACGAGGATACAGTCAGGTGAGGATGCGTCGAGAAACTCGGAGATCTGGCGGTTAGAGCGTTCGGGAACGCTCTGGGAGCGTTCCGGAACGCTCTGGAACGGATTTATCTAGAGGCCTCCTAGATGGGGCCCGAGCAGATGGGGTCGAAGGATCGCGCCGCATCGCCGATGCATCGCCGATCTATCGGCGATGCATCGGCGACGTTGGCCATGCATCGGTGACGTTGGCGTGGTGAAGCACGGGCTCCACATCGAGCTGCATCGTCGATGCATCGGCGATGCGGCGCGATCCTCCGACCCCACCCACTCGGACCCATCGAGGAGGCCTGGATGATCCTCGCCCTGGCCCCGCCCGACGTGCCCCGGGCAGTGGCCCCCTCCCGTTGCCCGTCCGCGCTGCGAGCACCACTCCTTGTCCGCCTCGGCCGCGGCCTTCGCGGCGGAGGGGAGGCCGGCGGAGGGGGGGGCAAGCGCGGGGCGCCAGTGCGGCGGGAGAACGCCTCCCTCCCCTCGTCCTCGTCGTCGTCGTCGTCGTCATCATCGTCCTCGTCGTCGTCGTCGTCGTCGTCGTCGTCGTCCTGCTCCTCCTCCTCCTCTTCCTCCTCCTCCTCTTCCTCCTACTCCTGCTGCTGCTGCCCCTCTCCCTCGTCCTCCTCCTCCTCCTCCTCCTCCTCCTCCTCCTCATCCTCCTCCTCCCCCTCGTCCCCCCCGTGTCCTCGTCGTCGTCGTCGTCCTCCTCCTCCTCCTTCTCCTTCGCCTCGTCCTCCTTTTGCTGCTCTTCCTCCTCCTCCTCCTCCTTCTCCTCCCCCTCGTCCTCCCCTTGTTCTCGTAGTGGTCGTCGTCGTCCTCCTCCTCCTTTTGCTGCTGGTCCTCCTCCTCCTCCTCCTCCTCCTCCTCCTCCTCCTCCTCCTCCTCCTCCTCCTCCCCCCTCGTCGTCGTCGTCGTCGTCGTCGTAGTCGTCGTCGCCGCTGCCGTCCGTCGTCGTCGCCGCTGCCGTCGTCGTCGTCGTCGCCGTAGTCGTCGTCGTCGTCGTCGTCGTCGTCGTCGTCGTCGTCGTCGTCGTCGTCGTCGTCGTCCGTCGTCGTCGTCGTCGTCGTCGTCGTCGTTGTCGTCCTCGTCCTCGTCGTCGTCGTCCTCGTCCTCGTCCTCGTCCTCCTCCTGCTCCTCCTGCTTCTCCGTTGCTCCATCCTCCTCCTCCTCCTCCTCCTTCCTCGTCTTCCTCCTCTTCCTTCTCCTCCTCGTCCTGTCGGTACTGTGGGTACCAAAGAGGTCGGCCACGCCGGACAAAACAAATCCGTGTGCGCTAATCCAAGCTCAAGGCGTGTAACAGTTTTCCCCAAGATAATGCCACTGGCCTACTATGATACGTACATGTAACACTGGTGCTAGAAGGCGTGCCTTTCAGGAGGGCGCGCTTCCCATGACAGTTACCAGTTGCCAGGCTCTCATCTAGACCTCCGATGGCTGGTCTCCTGGATCCCGAAAGCGCCGCACCTGGCGCAGAACACCACGGGGCACCCCGACTCCACGACATACGCAGCATGAAGGGACTGCCCAGGTTTTCAGGGTCCTTCAGCACTGCCCTAATCGGAGGTTCAGGCTGGTGCAGGGGGTCTTCGTGGGCGGCGACGCAGTTCAGAGACAGGGACCGCGGAGCCACTGGTCGATGTGCCCATCAGGGATGTGTGGGGAGGAAGGGGGCCTGCTAACATGGGGTCTCGCAAATCCCTCGCCCAGCACACAGAGGAAATCAGCAGGAGGGGGGCCAACGGACAAGGACTCGCAACATTCCAGGAGCCGTACTTGAAGCTGCTTTGGCGTGGAAGCGACACTCTCAGCAAGCGTGGGATCGAACTCGTAAGATCTGGCACCGAGGCCAGACAACCAGTCTGCAGCTTTGTTCCAAAGGGATCTGCTTCATCACCCTCCGAAATGGCCTAGTCTTCAGCTCGGTGGGCCTTCGCTTTACGGAAAGAGACCCAATCACCAACATCGAACGCCGCGGCTACCTCGCGCCCAAAGTGGGCGACATAACGCTTGGCCGCCAGGACCTGGTCGGGATCGGTTTGCCCACGAGGCATCGCAGGGAGATTCACGGCCAACGGTTCTTGGGTCGGACCGTCATCTGCGCGCTCCGTGTGCACATGCGCCATCAGCATGGCAACGGGTTGTCGCACTCTGCTGCTCTGCTGACCAGAGATCATAGGGGCATGTCCAAACATGCCTCGGGCAAGGTTCGCCTGGGCATCCACCTACCCCCGCACCTCGCTCTCGCCAAGTACCCCAAATTCGGCCTCGGGCAGGCACCGTCCGCGTAGACTTTCTCCTGTGGGGAGAACGCGGCGGAAGCCGCCTGTTGGCCTCCTTCACAGAATCTGGCATCCCAGCCCTCCGCTGGTGGATCTGCAGGAAAGCTGGCGAGTCAGCACTTCGTGAACAACGAGCTGGACTCTCCAACCTCCAATGCCTGCGAGATCGTACTTTCCGGAGAAACCTCCTCACGCTTAGCCTTGCCACGCACGCACTGGCAGGCTCTATGGAGAGCAGTATCGGGGACCCCACACCAATACTTGCACTCGGGGGCCACGGGGTGGCCCCAGGAACGACGTTTCGTGGCTGCGGGGGTAGCCCCTCCAAACCTTAGCCGAACAGCACATCTGTCTTTTGGTTCTAGATTGTGTTTGCTACTCCCTCCAAAACATGTTCCCTAATAGGATCACTGCAGGGGCTGGGGTGGGTGTGACACGACTGCTTAACCACATTCTGGGTTCGAATGCTTTTTACTGCGTCCCAAACCGCTGGGGGGAGAAAACAGGGGCCAACTTCAGCATATCGGCGGTGTGCAGGTGACCGTGTGCGAACTCCGTCGTCTCGACATTGGGCGGAAGGAAGGGGGAGGAGGGGGGGTCTGGCTCCAGACCTCTGCGTAACGCGACTGTTTGCAACAGGGCGTCCTATGGGGGAGACTGCACCTGCTCGAAACAGGCGCCAACAACAGCCAAGATCTACTCCATGGGTGGGGGGAGGGGTGGGGCGAGGGCCCGCGCCGATCGGCAGAACAACGAAAAAGAACACTACGACTATCAACCTTGGTGTCTGAGGTACTTTCATAGTTTCTCGAGACTTGTTCATGCAGCAGAGGTAGGCTTGGCCATGTGTCGGGCTAACTCCTTTACCGCATATGTAATGTCTGATCGATCCTGCGTTAAACAATCAGCTCGGGCCACAAATGTTTGATATGTTCGTGCATCTTGTTGAAATAGCTCCTCCTCGTCAATCTCGTTGATGGGCAACGCGTTCTAGAAGCATCCCAAAATAGGCGACGAAAAGACGGGTCTTATGCGAGATGACATAGTGACCTTGCGTGGCGGCTTACGCGGGCAGCCAGAGCGGCGTGCTACATTGGAATCGAGGGCGTTCGCGCGCGACCTTACGCGGGCAGCTTCCGCGCGAAAATCGAGCTCAACATCGACCCGCATAGCCAATGCACCGGCGACGCGGCGCAATCCTCCGACCCCATCTCCTCGGGTCCCATCTGGGAGGCCTGCAAGATAGCCAGGCTGGCCCGAATCCATCCTCGGAGGCCCCCAAGCTCGACAACGCAAGAGGAAGGCATAACCGAGACAGTATCGGACCGATACAGATCTGATACCAGTGAGGATCGGCGGGTTTGGAGCATGTATCGGGCGCCACAATTAGGGGGCCACATGCAAACCCTACCCCTAGCCCCCACGATTGCTGAGCGAAGTGAACCCCACCCTCCCCCTCAGATATCGTGGGGGCTAGGGGTAGGGTTCGCATGTGGCCCCCTAACCTGGAGGTGCCGCACTCGTCGAAGCCACTGAGGAAGATCCTGGGTTGGCCACGCTTTCTCCGGCAGCATCCACAAGAATAGGAGGAAGCTGCATGGAGATCCAGAGCAGCGCCGCTACCAAAGCGATGATGAAGTCCACCCTGTTTGGAAGCTTGAGCGGCTTGGGACGCGTCGGCGTCTCGGGCCGAATGTGCTACGACGATGCAAGCGAAACACATCACCCAGGGACATACCCAACCCATACGGAGCCCACTCGGGTCTTAGCGACCTACAATTACAGAGGCCCTGCCCAGATGAAGGTTTGTCTTGATGACGGCCACGAAGGAGACGACAACGCCGACACCCCTAGAGTGAAACACGACGGACTGCTCCATGCGACCAAGACTGACACGATGATGATTGATATGTTCCAGTAAACCAGGAATCCAAGGTGGCTGCAGTTCCCGACAGGCCGACTAGGCACTCCGATACTAAATCCGGCAGCTCGAGCTGAAAAGGCGCAGCGACGCGGCGATCCGACGAAAGACGGCAGAAGGCAACCCAAACTGTCTCGCGGCCCTATTAGAAGTCCAACTGCCGCTTGCACCACTACTTTTTCTTCTTTCCTTTCTTCTTTCCCTTACCCTTGCTAAGCTGGAGCTCCAGTTCCGCAAAAGTTCCTGTCATGCACCTTTCGGTCACCATCACCGACTGGAGGTGAGTATGGCCTTTGTCCCGCATGTCCTTAACCAGATCCTGCGCGCCTTCATCAGATATTCTGTTGGCACCCAGATCGTATGACACAAGATTTGTGTTGGCAGTGAACAGATCTCGCAACGCCCTCAGAACCTCTGGTGCCTCTGAATTGTTGAGCGAGAACTTGTTGTCGAAGACGTCCAAGTGCCGCAAGGCCTTTGCTCTACGAGCGCCTCTGAAAACATCAATCACGCCCTGGTTCTCAAGATCGTTTCCTTTCAACTCCAGGATCTCCAGAGCACTTTTGCAAAAGATCAAGATGTGACCGATGAACTCTCCCCCGTCGGGGCCGATTCCGCAGTGGTTCAGGGAGAGATGCTTCAAGGTGCTGTTCTGAGACAGACCCAGCGAAAGCTTTTCCACTCCCGCAGCACCAAACTTGTTGTAATCAAGCACCAACTTGGTGATGAACTTGTTCCCGTTCGGGCCCAGAGTCCTAAATTGGCATCATAACAAGAAACAGGCCCACTCGCATCGTAACTCCAGGGCGAGAGAGAGAGAAGAGAGAGAGAGAGAGAGAGAGAGCGAGAGAGAGCGAGAGAGGGATGGAAAGCGATAGAGAAGGAGAGAGAGAGAGAGAGAGACACACACACATGAAGAGACTTGTACAAATGGACGTGGCGTGCAATTCTTGGCGATACGGTCCCTGCTCAGACTTGGTGCTTGCAGAATACCTGGGCGTGCTCCCTGCACCAATCACACATGCATCACACAGCCAGCCAGTCTCAGGTCGGGCATGTCCCCTACAGGCGGATTTTGGACAAAAGATCAAACAATAATCAACACATCATCAAACATAATCACACATAGTCCCAAAATCGTCCCAAGACTATGTTTTGACTATTCTTGTATATTCCTCCTGTAGAGGGACAGGCCCGACTTACAGCCAGCCAGTGATGTCTCCCAGGGCGGAAGAGCGATGGTCTCCTGGCTAGTAGACCACCATTACTGGTGCAGCTATGGGGTCATCTCCGCCGCCTTCGTGAGACCAACGTAACCCCTCCTCCCCATCGCCCGACGTGAGCAACAACAATCTGGCGGTCTGTCCAGAAGGGTCGTTGATGGCAACCCACCTCAAAGAAGACCGCGCGCTGAAACGACATCGCCTCGTACCCAGCACACTGCAAATGAAATAATTTCGAAACCTGTGGTAGGGCCACTGTTTGTCCGAAGATGAGCTTGGACCTTTCCTCGCGGAGATTGGAAGTCTTCGAGGAGCAAACAACAAGGAACAGCAACAGAAAGCAGGGGGAAAAGGCCACAGACGCACCAGACCGATCCAATCCTCGCAAGCCCTCGCCTCGATTGCTTTTCCGATTTTCCTCCCGCCCCAGCGCAGCAAGCCGACCGAACCCAGCCGGGTCCTCCCCAGGAACTCGCAGCCCAGCGCTGTGACCTTGGCGCCGCCGAAGTTCGCATCGGCAATTGCTCGAAGAGACTCGCTGCGGTCGCCCCGCAGAAGCTCGCAATCGGACACTCGGCAAGAAGCGATCAGGAGGGCTGTCGTGACGCTCGCGATCGCTGCGCCGGCGCGCGCGCGCGCGCGCGCCCCTGCGCGCACACTCGCGGGACACGAAGGCCCCGGCGCCGTTGTCGGTGAAAGCCACGTCCTTCACCCACTCCTTCACCGTGGGCTCCTGCAGTGGAGGCGGCCGGGGGGGCTGAGCTGCATAAGCCCAGAGAAGATCGATCAAGATGCGGGGCGGAGGCAGATTCGCTCAAAGTCGGTCCCAAACCCCTCCCGAGGTCGTAACTGACCAAGTGTTCGAGCCGCTTCCAGCCGTGGCAACGCGGGGGGGGGCCCTGACTCCACCCTGTCTGCTGTCCAGAGCCGGTACTGGACCACCTCCTCCTCCTCCTCCTCCTCCTCCTCCTCCTCCTCCTCCTCCTCCTCCTCCTCCCCCTCCCCCTCCTCCTCCTCCTCCTCCTCCTCCTCCTCCTCCTTGTCCTTGTCCTTGTCCTTGTCCTTGTCCTCCTCCTCCTCCTCCTCCTCCTCCTCGCAGTGTCCTGCGGGCCATCCAGGTAGTAGCACACGCTCCGCACCTCGGCGCGAGGGCTAGGGCGCCAAGGGCGGGGCCGCCCAGTGGCTGCAGGCGGCCAGCGGGCGGTGCGATCACCCCCCCCAACAAAAACGCCCTCATAGAGCGATGAGCTGCGCCAGCACTCGTCACCGCGCGCACGCCAGGTAGGGTTAGGTTGGGCCTGTTCCCCTAGAGGGGGATTTTCGACGAAAAATAAAACATATCCAAAAAATAATCAAAACATAGTCCAACAATAGTCTGGGGACTATTTTTTTAGTATTCTTTGACCTTCTTGGAGTATGTTTGGGGTAGTTTTTATTTTTCGTCGAAAATCCCCCTGTAGGGGGACACGCCCGACATAAAGGTAGGGAGGAACAAGAACGGCATAAACATGTCTCGGATCCGCGCTGCACCGTCGGGGCGTTGACCCAAGGAGCTCCAAAGAAGGCACGAGGCCCCTTTCTCCCATAAGTTGAACTTCGGTTTCCCATGGGAAACCTCAGGAAAAGCGAAGGCAAACTGCAGGACAATCAAGGAACACCGACCCCTCCCCAACGAACAGGGTTCCTTCTTCAGGGCCCCGACCGTATTCTCGGATCTGCGCGGGCTTCGTGGACTTGCGCGCTGGATCCCCGGATCTGCGCAGACGCCCTGGACTCTTGGATCTGCGCTGGATTCGTGAATGTGCGGAAGTCCGCGCGGATCTGCGCCAAACCCCTGCCAAACCCCGTCCCCCGGCGCGCGGAGCGCGCCAGGGGCGGCGCCAGGCGGCTTCGTCAGGGAGGCCCAGCGCCGATCCGAGACGTCCGCGCGGAGCTCCGGATGATTTTGTTCCTTTTGTTCTGCCGCTTCCTCTTCCTCGGACCAGGACGACGGCAGGGAGAAGACAGCATCGGGCAGAGATGAGTCAGGAACCTCTCAGGGCAGACGGGCCTCGAGGATGCGTCCGGCGCCGCGGCAGCTCTGGAGCGTTCCAGAGGCGTTGTTGAGGGAGGGGCCACGCCAGGGGGGGACCAGCTCAGGGCAGGGCGGAACCTAAAGGGTGCTTTTCGATTCCGTTTTGAGTTTCGTTTTTCCTCGTCTTGTCTTGCATTTGCCTTTGCTGCACCAAGACATCGAAACGAAAACGGCCCACGAGATCGCCAGAACACTGTTTAGGTCCACCCCTGTCGGGTCGGGCGAAAGGGGGGGATAGCAAAGGGGGGGTTTGAGACTCAGCTCACGAGGCTGATTTTCCCGGCGCCTCCCGGCGCCAGAGGCGGCCATGTATCGAGGAAGGGGCCCCTCGGTGGGGCCGAAACAAGCTGCACGCAGCAAATTTTTTGGACGCCCGAAATGGGCACGGAAAGAATTGGCACAATGCCCAACAGCAAATGTTGTCCCAAACCATCGGCGGCCGCTGTTGGGCAGGCGGCCTCCTGTCTCGAACGGACACAGGCCGCGGCGGCGCTGACAGCGAGTCCTGTTCAAAATGAACAGGAACTGCTGTTGAGCATTGTACCCATTCTTTCCGTGCCCATTAAAACAACGCGAAGATCGGGACAAAATCGGATCGGGATAACTCGAAATCTCTGAGAATCGGCGGGTTTGGAGGATGTATTGGGCGCCGCGGCCGCTCCAGAGCGTTCCGGAACGCTCTGAGAGCGCTCCGGAACGCTCTGGAGCGATTTATCCCGATCCCAGCCCTGTTTTACCCATTTCGTTCGTGCAAAGATTTCGTACCCCCCCCCGTTTCCCTATCCCCCCCGTTTGTCCGGCCCGAGAGAAGAGGCGGCTGCGGAGGACCCGGCAGGAGGCCCCCGCGGACGGGCCCGCCCGCGAGCTTCTCCGGTCGGCGGCGCCGGCGATCGCAGGCGCGGCGGTCGGTGCCCGCGGGGCGCGCCGAAGGCACGGGTAGGGGGCCACGGGCGAACCCTACCCCTACCCCCCACGATTTCTGACAGGGAGGGTGGGGTTCACTTCGTGCGGGAGCTCCCGAGCGAAGTGAACCCCACCCTTCCCCTCAGAAGTCGTGGGGGGTAGGGGTAGGGTTCGCCCGTGCCCCCCTAGCGGGGTGCGAAGACGAGTGGAGGAGAAGAGGCGGCCGCGTCGCGTCGGCGGGGGGAAGGGGGCACCACTCGGCCAGACGCCAGAGTGGAGGTCGATTACTGGAGAGGCAACACGTTGCCAAATCATTTCCAGATGTCTAACACATGTCTTAAGCATGTGCTAACATGTAAAAACAAGTTTATAATATTTTTCCTACAGTCTAAACACATTGTAAATTCAAAGATAGGACTGTTGGGGTGCCCATTGTCGTGGCAAGGGTGGTCTTTCGTGCGCGGATTCCAGGGGCGCCAGGCGGCCAAATCTCCAAGCGCCCAGGCAGCCACGATCATCGCGCCGCGCTCGCCCCTCGGGGGGTCCCAAAGGGGCCCGCACCAGCAAGTCGGGGCAGGGCCTGCCTGCCGCCTGCGCCCATCGACGGGTGGGCATCGCCGCCTGCCGTCCTGGCCGGCCCGCGCGGCCGGGCCGCGGCCTCCAGGGCCAAGCGGCAGGCTCCGAGGACCCCGAGCCCAGAACTGTTGTGCCGGCTCCTGGCGGCGCATCTCTTGCTTCCGCTGGCTTCCGCCGGTGGCGCCACCCTCGTTCTGCTTCCGCCGCCTTGCGCCGCCTTCTGCAGTCCTTCCGTCGCCTTCCGCCGAAGCAGAGATGCCAACTCCTTCGGTCCTCGAAGGCCAGGCCCTTTCTGGAATGCCGCACGTGAGCAGTAGGCACATGCGATACGGTCGGGAGCTTTTGCGTAGCGTGTGGCGGCGGCGGCGGCCACGGCGACACGCTGTGCCTTGCGAGCGGATGGCGTGTCGCCCCGCTCCGCGGGGCTTGTTCTGGGAACGGCTCGGGACGTTGACGCTTGGGAGTGGGGGCCCGGACGTCGTGTCGCGTCGAAGCGTGGTGGGCCAGAACTGGCGGTGCGACACGCGAAGCAAAAGTCCCTGACTCCTGACCGTGATATATCTTGCTGTGAAAACTCTAAAGGCGTGCCCTTAGGAGGAGGAGGAGGAGGAGGAGGAGGAGGAGGAGAAGGAGGAGGAGGAGGAGGAGGAGGAGGAAAGGGATGATGATGATGAGGAGGAGGTGGAGGAGGAGGAGCGGCAGGAGGAGGGGCAGGAGGAGGAGGAGGAGGAAGAGGAGGAGGAGGAGGAGGAGGAGGCCCCAAGGCTCTGCGGCCCCATCGGGAGACGAGAACCCATCGAGGGACGCCCGGAGGCAGGCCACAGCCTTCGTGTGTGTGCCCACTGCAAGGGGGGCCTACTGGAAGGGGGGGGGCTGTAGGTCTGGCCGCTGGCCATCCGCCTCTTAGACCCCCCCCCTCTGGAGCATGACCAGGCGGCGCGCCGGAGGGGGGAAGCGCGAGGGGGCAGGCCTGGCCAGAAGGCAGCAGGGCTCCGGAGGAGGCTCGCGGAGTTCTTCAGAAGGCCGGGGGCCTTCTCAGCCTTCTGAGAAGGCCCGCCCCCTCTGTCGGGCGGGGGCCACCGCCGGCGGCATGTGCGCGGCCCAGGGGAGGGGGGGAGGCCAGGGACGTCCTGAAACCAGAAGAGGCGCCATGAGATCTGGGGAATAGCATGGCCCACGCCATGATATCCCCCCCCCCGGTCATCACCCCCCTCGCTGCCGCCCCCGACTCCGCCTTCCCCCCCAGGGCGCGCCGCCGAAGCGAGCAGAGGATGATTTTTATGATGCTGATGCTGATGCTGATGATACTGCTGATGATGATGACGATGAGGGTGATGCCGCTGAGGATGAGGATGCTGATGATGCTGCTGCTGCTGCTGCTGCTGATGATGATGATGATGATGATGATGATGATGATGATGATGATGATGCTGATGCTGATGCTGATGATGATGATGATGATGACGACGACGAGGAGGACGAGGAGGAGGAGGAGAAAGAGGAGGAAGAGGAGGAGGAGGAGCAGGAGGAGGAGGAGGAGCAGGAGGAGGAGGAGGAGGAGGAGAGGGGGCAGGGAGAAGAGGAGGAGCGCCCGCCCCAGGCCCTGGACCTCGGCGCTCCGAAGGGGGGCGCCCCGCGCCCCTCCCCGCGGCCCGCCCCGACGGCGTGGGCGGAGCAGGGTCGGGCGTGCAGCGCGGTCCGGCGGAAGGGGGCAAAGAGGGGAGAAGCAGGCAGGCGACGACGAACGCCCCAGGGCCGGCAGGCCCGGGCGGGAGGCCAGGGCCGGCGGGGCGGGCGGGCAGGCAGAACACGGGCCAGGCGGAAACAGCAGGCAGGAAGCAGGCGGGGTCGGGCGTTGGCAGAAGCGGGTTTCGTGGAACCTGGTTTGGTGATGTGTGCTGGGGGGCGCCCCCCCGCCCCGTTCCACGAACCGGAGCTGCCGTCCCCCGAAAGACACCAGCTGCGGCAGACCTGGTTCAGTGATTCTGGCCAATTCAAGGGCTCCGGGGCCCTACCACTAACCGGGTCCCCTTACCTGGGGTCCTGGCTATACCCGACAGAGGGGGCGATCGCTGGCCGTGGCAGCCTCCGACTGCCCTGAGATCAGGGATCTGCACTTCTCGTCGCCAGGCACCCTCGCCCAGGTTCGAGCCCCTGGAGCCTGACGGATCGACCCGGCTCGAACATGTGCAGCAAAAGGAGGGGGCTTCGGTCTCTGGCCGCGATGCCCTGCAATGTTGTAATTTGCTCGCAACGTCGGATCTCAGCCAGGATAACAGACGGCACGCACGTAAGAAGCCTTGCTGTCACAAATATTCGGGCACGCTCTTCGTCATCCTTGGTGGGTCCTGAGGTGCCCCTGGGCTTCTGGGGGTGCCCAGTCGGCTACACGCAAGAGTGACCCAGGGCCAAGAGTGGACCTTTCGTGTGCGGCCTGTCTGCGACCGCGGGGGAGCCGAACACAAGCGCGCAAGACGCTAGTTACCATCGCATCGCGTTCGGCAATCGGGGGACCACAAGGGGCCCGCACCAAAGGCAACTCCGGCGAAGGGCCACTCTCACGTGTAGTCGACCCGGGGCTATCGAGGGGTAAACAATCATGATGCACCTGCTGGCTGGCTGATTCCTGATTCGATGTGCCTATCCCAGGGAGAGATTGCCTTCCGGCACGGGGGAGAACGTGTTAGGGGTGACCGGCTCAGGGGGGGGGGAAGCGTCGACCTGGAATCGGCCTACATCGTCGACAGATCGCTGATTGGTCCCTGAGAACAAACCCGCACGCTCCTGGGCGGGCCCCCCACCTGGTCCCCGATGGCGTCCCCTCTGGTATCCTCCGGCTTGTCCTCCCCGCCACCCCCTTTAATCTCGTCGTCGTCATTGTCATCATCATCATCATCGTCGTCGTCGTCGTCGGCGTCGTCATCGTCGACACCGTCGTCGTCGGCATCATCCTCATCACCATCACCATCACCATCACCATCACCATCACCATCACCATCACCATCACCATCACCATCACCATCATCACCACAATCACCATCAGCATCAGCATCATCATCATCATCATCATCATCATCATCATCATCACCTACACCATCACCAACATCATCATCATCATCATCATCGTCATGATCATCATCGTCATCGTCATCATCACCGTCATCGTCATCACAATCTGCATCCACATCATCATCCACATCCTCATCCTCATGCTCAGCCTCATCATCATCCTTCTCATCTTCGTCATCGTCATCATCACCGTCATCGTCATCAGCATCATCGTCATCATCATTACCATCTTTATCATCAGCATCACCATCATCATCGTCACCAACAGCATCATTATCATTATCATCACCACCATCATCATCATCACCTACACCATCAACATCATCATCGTCATCATCAGCATCATCATCATCATCATCATCATCATCATCATCATCGTCATCGTCATCGTCATCATCATCATCGTCATCATCACCATCTGCATCCACATCATCATCATCCACATCCTCATCCTCATGCTCAGCCTCATCATCATCCTTCGCATCTTCGTCATCGTCATCATCACCGTCATCATCACCAGCATCGTCATCAGCATCATCATCATCATCATTACCATCTTTATCATCAGCATCACCATCATCATCGTCACCAGCAGCATCATCACCATCATCGTCATCATCATCGTCACCATCATCATCGTCATCATCATAATCAGTAGTGGCATCGCTATCACCATCACCAAATAACATCATCACCACCACCGCCTAGAGGAACACAACGCGACATGACCACACAGGTTCAAAGCTCCGTGCGGATGTCCAGGATCGGCGCAGGACCCCCCTGGCACGCTCCGCGCGCCAGGAGCGGCTCTGGAGGCGCCGCTGGGGGGGCCCAGCGCACGCGGACCTCAGAGAAATCATGTTTACACATATTATGCTCTTCGGCCACCATCACCACCACCATCACAGTCACCACATCCTCGAAGGCCACCTAAGACCCTCGCGATGCCACTTGGCTGAAAACCTCCGCTGCCACTGGGCTCAAAGCCTCCGCCAGGTGAAAGGCAAACACAGTGACTGCCACTTGGCTGAAATTTTTGCACTGGCTTGAACTGAAACGTTCACAATCACCACCACCGACTTTAGCCGCCCCGATACGCAACACGCAATCCGTAGCGCATTGACACGGAGCTCAACACGCAGATTGAAAACGTACGCCCGGCGCTGCACGTTCGCCAAGACGTGGGCCAACACGCGGAGCCCACACGCAACGTGTTGACACGGACGTCTTGAACACGGCACGCGCTGCGCTTCGAAACGGGCGGATCGGGGCAGCTAAGCCACCACCATCATCAGCATCGCCGGTACCACCCCCCTCCTCGCTCCAGCCCCTCTCCTGGCGCCCCACTCACCCTGCCCGCCCGCGCCTCCGACTCCTCGAGGCTTTCGAGCCATCGCATCTTGCATCTCCGGACCCACGGGACCAGGTCTCCAGCCCTCGGGTCTATAACGAGAGGGGGGGTAGCAAGGAAGGGTTGGCGAATCAGCTCGCGAAGCTGGTTTTCCTGGCGCCTCCTGGCGCCAGAAGCGTCAAAGGATTGAGGAATGCGCCAAGCGGCGGGGCCAGGACCAGCGGCATGCAGCATATTGGGCACCCCGCCCTTTTCAGGTCCCCCCCCCTTTCGTCCGACCCTGATTCTGCCGCGAGCCACGTCTCCTGACGGCCCATACAGTCGGGGCGTTGACCTAAGGAACCCTAAATAAGGAACGAGGCCCCTATTTTCCATAAGTTGAACTTCGATTTCGTATCGAAAACCTAAGGAAAATCCAGGGCAAGCTGCGAAACAATTAAGGAACACGGAGCCCCTCCCCAACGAAAAGGGTTCCTTCTTCAGGGCCCCGACTGTAAGGCCCCAAGTCGCCTACACGTGAGAATGACCCTTGGCACGAGCGACCTCTGGTGCGTGGCTTGAGGGGGCCGTGGAAAGGCCAGATCCACGAGAGGAAGCCTAAAACAGGGCTAGGATCGGGATACATCGCTCCAGAGCGTTCCGGAGCGCTCTCAGAGCGTTCCGGAACGCTCTGGAGCGGCCGCGGCGCCCAATACATCCCCCAAACCCGCCGATTCTCTGAGATTTCGAGCTATCCCGATCCGATTTTGTTTCGATCTTCGCGTCGTTTGAAAACCACTGG